ATTTGAAATTTTAAAAAAGTGAAAAAATGAAATCTTTCATCATCATAACTTTGGCATTTCTCTCAACTGCTTCAGCTCGTATTTATAGCGGGCCATGTCGATTGGACGAAATGTCAGCTCGAGTGAAGACAAACTTCCAAGTTTCACCTGTAAGTTGTGATTTTTTAATTCTTGAAAATTACAGAAAGTTGTTAAGAAAGTGAAATTTTTATTTAAAGTTCATGGGTGTTTGGTACCAAATCGGACGATATGATACACAAACCAATTATGTTTGCGTCACGTCTCGCTATTCATTGAACAATGATGGCTCGATTCATATGAGTAGTACCGGATTCACTTCAGGAGGTACATTTAGACAATCCACTGGACAAGCACAATTAACTAACCCAAACGAAAATCCATTAACTGGAAAACTTGATGTTACTGGATTTGGATCAGGAAGTGAGTTTTAGACACACACTCTTCGGTTTCTTCTTTTCTAAATTATTTATTTCTTTTTAATGATCAGCAACATCAGCAATCTTTTGGGTCATGGATACAGATTATTCTGATTACGCAGTTGTGTGGAGTTGTCGTAACATTTCTCGTGGAAGATCTGAAGAACTTGCATGGGTATTGGCAAGAACACCACAAACATCGGAGGCTGTTCGACAACGTTATGAAAATGCTGTTCATTCAAGTGGACTTGTATTAGATGCAATCAGATTGACTAATCAAGATGCGACATTCTGCAGTAGCTTGTTCTAATACATTAGGAAAATTAGTTTAATGATAAAAATTTAATTTACAATTTATAATTTATAATAANACTCATCAGCTTCTTTTCTAAATTATTTATTTCTTTTTATGATCAGCAACATCAGCAATCTTTTGGGTCATGGATACAGATTATTCTGATTACGCAGTTGTGTGGAGTTGTCGTAACATTTCTCGTGGAAGATCTGAAGAGCTTGCATGGGTATTGGCAAGAACACCACAAACATCGGAGGCTGTTAGACAACGTTATGAAAATGCTGTTCATGCAAGTGGACTTGTATTAGATGCAATCAGATTGACTAATCAAAATACGGCATTCTGCAATAGCTTGTAATACATTAGAAAAATTGAATGGCTTTGAATGGACTTTTTGACTAACCCGGCAACTAAATAATTATCCACAGACATTTTAATCTGAGCATGAAAAACTGAGCTTTGTAATAAAAATTATTTTGAAGTTCAAAAGTTGAAAATTTATTCGTTCAATTAAAATTTAATCAGTGAAGTAATCACCATCAGATCCAGTCGATACATTTTCAATCAATTAGGTTTAATTAATGGAGAATTAATATTTCTTCGTCATGCATTTATTTGCGTCAAGCGTCTGCTTCCTTCATTTTCAAGATATCATCTCAGAAATGATTTAGTAAAGGAATTTACGATTGAAATCGATGTCTTTGTAGTTAAATATCGATTACACTTAATGGGTAAATTCAGATTTTTTATTATCATGAAGTAAATATTTCTCTAAATATTTGCGTGTCTAAAAAAACATTAATTTTCTAATTTACAGTCGACTTTTAAAAGAACGATTTTTTGTGAAAGTACGGCTGTCAGTCTCTCTCGATTAAACGTGGTCCCTTCAACCATAGTTGTATCAAGAGCTTCAATTATTATATTCAGGTGTAACGAATTTTCCAAGAAATTTGAAATTCGCCTTATACTCTTAATCATTAAAAAAACTAAACGAAACGGTTTTGATCATTAAATTGCGAAGCCATCAACTATAAAAGTCGATTCTTTTCACGATTCTTGATCAGTTTTTATCAAATTTTTCAGCTTGGATCATTTTTTTAATTGAGATGTCAAAGTCGAGAATTTCAAGTTTCTTGTTAACATTTTTGTTTATTTGCGGTAAGTGAAATGTTACTTGAGAATAAGAAGACAATTTATTATTAAATCCTTTTACAGCTTTTACTGCTATTGGCTCTGTGTGGGGCTTTCCTGAATGTTCTAATGGCGAAAGCGAGTTTTGTTGGACACTATTTTGTCCAGATGGTTATGTGTCCGAACCCGTGTCTTCTGGATTTTTTGATTTCCGATGCTGTTGCCGCTCATTATAAATTAAAAAGCTCCTTTCGCATTGAGTTTTGTAAAATATTTCTGAGTTTAGCTAAATAAATTTAACTAAATTTTGAATTATTGAGATATAAAAAGCAAATAATAAAAAAATTAATTCAAATAAAATTGATCGTATTAATAGATTTGCAGATGTTCTGTACACGGAAAAGGAAAATACATACATGTATAATATATTCTGATAGCATTCAGAGTGAGTTTGAACAGCTGGGAACACAATTTTGCTAGTCTTGATAATGTGTCAAAAAATTGGGAATTCAATGCTTGGAAGGTGACAAGTCTAAATAATTTCGTAAAAATGAATTAAGAAGTTCTCAATAAGAACTGCTTAAGTAAGTGCCTGCTTCCTTCATTTTCTAAATATCATCTCAGAGTTAATTCAATTAAGGGATTTACGTTTGTAGTTGACGTCTTTGGAGTTAAGTAGCGATCACCACCTTGTGGGTAAATCCGGATATCTTATCTGTCAAGAAGCATTTAATGAAAGACACTTAAAATTGATTTGAGAATGAAATGTGATTCTAATCATATTGATTAACTTAATCCAAGGGTAAACCCACAATCTTATCAGACTTGACACGTTCCATTGATAACTAATTGGTGGTAGTTGAAAGAACGAAATAGTATTTAAAGCTCGATCAAAACGATTCTTCAACAGTTTCATTTCAATCATCAAACAAGATTTTTTTTAGAGAATTCGAAGTTGAAAAAAAAATGAAATCTTTCATCATCATTATAAGATTGGCAATTTTAGAAACTGCAAAAGCAAAAATTAGATTTACCTAACTTAAATATTTTTCAAAACTGGTGATTTGATCAGTGCTAAATAATAACATCGAGAACTTTTAATCTAAATGTTTCCGTTCAAATGATAATAAAAAAGCTCAAGTTTATTTTGACAGAGCTTTTAAAAGCTTTGAGCTTTCTCTTTGAAGTTTTCATGTGAGCTTCAGTAAATGTGTAGATAATTGGTTGCGCGAATTTTTCAGTTTGAATCCAAACTTTGAACACCGGTATCATTAAATACTAACTGAATGTTTTTATTTTATTAAGAACATCTGTGAGGCTCATGATTTTATTATCTAAAATTGATCTTTCAAAAATAAAGCTTTTTTGTTTTAATCTTTACTTAATTTCAAATTGACATGAAAAATTTTCCTTATGCTCTAGGACTTTGACAGAATTCCAAATCTTGATTCGTTTCTCTCATTTCTTCCAACACAATATCATTAGCTCGAAGAATTTCTTCATATCGGAATCTTACAGCATCTGATGTTTGAGGTGTTCTTGAAAGCACCCAAGCAGCTTCATTCGATCTGTTTCCGGGGAGGGGACGGCAACTCCATATGACAGCATAATCAGCATAATTCGTAGCTAACGTCCAATAGATTGATGTTGGTTCTTTTAAAAATTAAAAAAATTAATAAAGTAATGATTAATGGGAAAAAAAGAAGTTTCTGCACTCACGTCCTGGTACGAATTGAACATCTAATTTTCCAACTAATGGATTACTGTCTGGGAATGTCAAGTCAGCTCGTCCAATAAATTCAATAAATTGACCTTGCGGACTATACCCAGAGTTGATGACTTGCACAGAACCATCAGCATTTAATGAGTAAGGAGCCATAGCACAATCAAAACCTATCTGATTTTGGGCTTCGTATCGTCTGACTTCATACCAGACACCAAGGAACTTTAATTAAAGAATATTCGAATTGCTTTCCTTAAGCATCTTTGAATGAGTAGAGAAAGCTTACCGTCGGAACTTGGAAACCAGTTTTGACTCGAGCTGACATTTCGTCTAATCGACATGGTCTGTCATACTCACGAGCCAAAATAGCTCCAAAAAGTGCCAAAGAAATAATAATTAAATATTTCATCTTTCCAACTTAATTTTTTTTTATGAAATGCTAGTTTCAGTGTTGAAAATAAACTGACAAATGTTTAGAATGATTTAGTTTTAAATACTTTATTTTATCTTCACTTATTCAGTTATCAATGAAACATTACGAGCATGATAAGAATGTGGTTTTAAAATTACATTAAGTCAAAACTTGATTCCAACTAAATTACAACCTTTGATCTCTTATCAAAGTTTTCTGCAAAAAAAATGCAATTACGAGTGATAAGATAAATAAATCCTTGAATGGATTAAATATTTGTATCTTAGAAACGTCATTGAATCGGGGGTTTTTGTGTATATGAATAAGCTTTTCTGACAGCTGGAATATATTGCAGTACATAAGCAAATCGATCTTCATCAGACCAGGATTGAGTCATAGGAAGTGAACTCTTAAGTGACTCGGTCCCAATAAATAAATCGAAAGATATTTGTACGTAGTTGAAGTATATCGTGCTGTGTTATATAATAAGTTTATCTCAGTTGTGACGCTGACACTTTTCATATCTCTGAAAGTTGAAGAGCTTATTTAACTTTAATTTATATTTTAACACGAGCTAGTTCATGTTTTAAGTTTTAGTCGGAAAGCAATTTTATTTCAGTTTGTCGAGGTTTATATGTGATTTGCAAGGTTACATGAATGATAAGAGTTAAACTCTTTTACTCTCTTCTAACACTATCTAACTTCTTAACAACACTTAATACAAACGATAAATTAAATGCTGATAAATCTGATAAAAACTATGACTTTTCAAATTTTTGTTAGAAAATCTTCTCAAATATTTTATTTTGTTTTAACAAAAACACTTTCATAAAATTTAGTCTAAAGTTTAAGCACTTGGAAGTCTGCAGAACTCCAAATTTTGATTCGTTTCTCTCATCTCATCTAAGAAAATGCCAGTCTCCTGAAGAACTTGTTCATAACGAATTCTCACAGCTTCTGATGTTGTTGGTGTTCTTGACAAAACCCATGCAGCTTCATTGGATCGACCTCCAGGAAGATTTGAGCAACTCCATGCGATTGAATAATTGACATAATCAGTTGCAAGAATCCATAAAATTGATGGGGGTTCTGTAATTGACAAAATAAAATTTAATTTAAAATCTTTCTTCATAGATTAGATAAAAATTAAACTTACGTTGTGGCACGAATTGAACTTCTAATTTTGCAAGTAATGGATTGTCATTTGGACTTGCGAGAACTCCACGGCCAATGAATTCAATGAATTGACCTCCTGCAGTGTATCCTGAATTAGCAACCTGAACGGACCCATCAGCATTCAGTGAGTAACGAGCCATTGTACAATCGAAATCAGTTTGGTTGGCAGCTTCATAACGTCTGATTTCGTACCACACTCCCATATACTTTAAATGAAAACGAATTTTTATAGCAGGAAAATCGATTTAAAATTTCTTAATTTTCTTACCGTAACAACTTGAAAGTCTCTCTTGACACGAGGTGATTGTTCGTCAAGCCGACATGGTCTGTCAAATTCAAGAGCAAGGGCTCCTCCGAAGAGTGCTAATGCAACAACAATGATCAAGTATTTCATTTTAATTTTAGAAGTTTTCGACTGTTTTAGTAGGTGCTAACTGATTGTGAAGTATTTTTGCAAGAGCTTTTATACCTTTCATTAGTTTTATTAATGTTATTTCAACACAACCTTAAATTATCAGCAATCGATACAAAGAAAAGAAGATTATGATAAAGAAATCTTTTTTCAAAATGGAATCAAAATTTTTAGTATTAAAGTGTTAGTTATCAATGAAAAAATTAATAAAATTGTGATAAAGAAATCTACTATTAAATACTTAATCTTTTCATTCATTTTTTATTGACACCTTTATATAATGAGTTGATAAATTCGTCGACATTACATTCAGAGTTGAGAAAAGATATTTGACAAATGTTGTTAAACTTATGTAAAAAACTTAAAATGTTCAACTTGCAGATATTTATTAAGATGTTATATTCGGTAATGTCATTGGTAAATAAAACCATATTCTATTCTATTCTATTCTGTTATCAACATGATGGACAAGTCAGCATGTCGACTTGTTGTGTGATTGTTCAATGAAATAAAAAATAATTCGAAAGTTAAAAGTCATCATGACTTCGACCATTACCTAGCATATTCACATTATCTAGCTACGAATAATTTTTTATATCAGCTTCTCATGTGATTCACCTTATCATTGCAATGATAAGATTAAGTTATCAACACGGCATTTTATTGAAGTTGATTGATGATGATTTATTCACACCCTACCACTCTAACTTGTTTTAAAGTTTTTCTAATAAAAATACTTTAACCTATCACAAGATATTTTTTATTAAACTTATCACTTAAGGGCTTTATCAAAGAGTCAAGCAAGTGAAAAAACGCAATTTTTGTTATCTGAAACTAAAGAGAATTATTGAAGTTTGAAGGTCGAAAAGAAGTTCAAGTTTGAAGAAATTTTTCTTTATTAAATATTTTATTTTTTACTCTTTGAACACGAGATAATTTATCAATATTTCAGGTAGACCTAAAGTTCTTAAACATTCAATGTTGTGTAATGACATCTTATCTTGTCTCAGCTGATCTCTTATCACATTGCGGCAGAAATGTTTTAATGGAAAAACGAAGTGAATGTCAAGAAATGTATTCAGATTGAGGTTTCCATAATTTGTCACCATCCATTCAACAACAAGTTTAATTTGTGGGTTTAAATTCTTAAAATCATTAATTTGCTTCCAATTGTCGTTGTCGCTATAATCAAAGAATGATGGTGCATAACGAATAAGTAACTTAACAATTTTCTTAGCTGTTTCTGTGTTAATGCCTTCAACATTTTTCTCAATTGCAATTGAATGTAAAAAACTTTTGATCATGAGATTTGTCTTGAATTGATTAAAATATAAATATTGAATAATACCATCAATTTTTTGTAAATCATTGTCGGGAATAGCCTCAAAGGAATATTTTGTGTGAAGAAGTGCCCCGACTTGATCTTCGAATTCCTTCACTCGAATGTTAAATCCAATTGACTTCAAATGCTGAAGTACACTGACAGTTAGTTCAACGGCATCATAAGCTGGCAACAACATATTGATGACATGAATCACAGAGCGAATGCACATGAAGTAATTAATTTCTGCAAATCTTGTGAAACTATATTTATCGTATCGATCAATGTCATCATGAAGAAACACGAGAACATAATACAGAAACTCGTCAGTGTCGTCAATCCAATATTCAGTAAGCTTCCGAATGAAATCATATTTCGTATTGCAGATATTGTAAACATTGTGAATTAAATATTTGACGATTTCAGTACGTGAATAAACGCATGCTAGAAAAGCACATTGAAAGATGTCACTAATTGCATATGTTCCAGTCACAGGATTTTTATCGTAAGTGTGTTCAAGCATTGTGAAGAAGCAACGAATGACCAAATCTTGATTTTCATTTCGAGATCTTACGATGAGAAGACATAATGGATTCATCTCATCGCGATTCCTAGCACGTGAATCTACTTCAGTTTCTTTTAAAAGAAAGTCGATCATATCGAAATCACTGTTAGATGCTGCTAAGTGAAGAGCATTTTCAAGATCCAAATCGAAGTCATTGACATTTGCTCCATACTGCAGCAATACTTTCACAATATCAAGCCTTTGATTTTTAACAGCCTCGTGTAGCGGTGTCACTTCTTCATTGTTCTTCATTGTAACATAAATCGGATACTTTCGAACCAACAATTCAATGACTTCTAGTGGTACATTTGCTAAAATGGCGATCATGAGGGCAGAACAACCTTCATAAGTTTTCACTAAGCTATCGAAACGCTCATGATCCAGCAAGAGTTCACAAACTTCAGGATTACCTTTGATAACCGCGTGATGAAGTGCTAAATCATGAAGAAACAAAAATAAAAAAATGTCACAATAAATAATGAACCAAAAATCACCTGTGAAGTTATGATTGTCAGTTTTATTAACATCAATACTTTCATTATTTAATATTTCTAAGACCAAATCTTTCTTATCTGCAAGTATAGCGTAAAACAAATTTGTTCTCAAATAACTCATTTTTTGTTCTTTAACTTGTTTTCTTCGTAAAATATTTTATTCAATCTTATTTTGGAAATTTTTAGAGTGACAGCATTGTTTTGTTTATTTACTGACAGCATGAAGTTGAGGAAGGGAAATTTAAGGGGAAGAAAATTTGAATTTAAATTTCCAATGACAGTTGAACGATAGTTTTGAAGACTTTGAGAATTAATTAAACTTCAGTTTTTGGAATGAACATAAATTCATTTTATTCAAACATGCGGGTGAATGTTGCAAAAGCATACAATTTATAAAGATGATCAAAAAAGTGATAAAGAATAAGAGAATTCCGTAAGTTAATAATGAATTTAAAAAATGGCTTGAGAGCAAGGTGTGCAGCGTGAAAACAAATCTCATCCATTTAGATAATATAAAATATTTCATTTCTCAACGTAAAATACACAAAGCATTTCTTTTGATTTAAATATTATCAGAATTAATGTTAATTCCGCTGTTACTTTCGAAACGAATCCTCTTAAATATTTCTACTTTTCTTATATAGTAACAGCTTCTTGCTTCCTAAAATTACTGATCGAAAAAAGTCTTCATTATCATTAATATTCCTTCTCGCTGTGTTTTGATCACTTTTGATTAATTAATTATGAAGAAGACAAAGTCACACAAAAGCTTATCTAAACATAAATTTTAAGTTCTGAAATAAAAAAAAATTTTGATGGAAAATTGAAAGGAAAATTTTTATGTGAAGTTCCAAGACCAGTCATTAGATTAATAATAATATTCATATCTATATAGAAGAACGAAAACGATAAAAAAAACGTGCAAATTTCTTGTGGAATTAATCCAATACTTTGGCCGAAGTTAATTAAGAATCACATTCTATGACTGAATCATTTCCAAATATTTAAGTTTGTGCTTTGACAACATTTCCGTGACTGTGACCAGCTTTTTAATTGAATTGTTAGCTTTCGACATGTTTTGAAGTTCAGAGAGGTGTGATCCACAAATGTGATGCAATGTTGCCAATTCAGGACCTGTTGACGATATTATTAGTGACAATTACATTTAAAACATTTAATTTAATTTTAATCTTACCAATATCTGAATTGTTTGTTGAAGCTGAATTATTGCACATGTCCATTCCACTGGTCTGACTATATGGATCAGTTATGCTTGATAATTGATCGAGAAACACAATCATTCGTTCCTTGTTCTTTAATATAAACGGATTAACGACTTCCATGTAACCTTCCTATAAAGAGAATTAATTAAACAAGGATTAATTAAAATTTGAATTATTCATAAAGCATAATACAACGATGTAGCACATGACACATAAGATTACTGATTTTGTTATAGAAAGTGACGAAAATTCACCTGAAATGATGGTAATTCACCCTTAGAGTAGACACATTGTGTACAATAATCGCGAAAGAGAAGAAGAAAAAATTCATAATGAATTAAATTTGATTAAACTTCCATCGTCAACGTTTTCTTTGATTGCTTCAACACTCAAAATTATTTTCATAACTTTTGATTGTTCTTTCATATTTCTACTCACTTTTCCACCAAACTCCACGAGGTTTGCAAGATTCTGTAAACATTTTGCCACCATAATGAGTGATCTTGTAGCCATCTGATGTGGTTGTTCTTGTACGAGGCTTTAAAGAAAAAAATAAAATAATATAGGTAGATCTTGAAAAACACAAAATTCTTCACTCTCACCCAAACTGCCTTGGATTTAATAAAGCCGGACAAAGAAGACGCAAGAAAATAAATCCTGAAACAACTCGTGTTCTGACAAGACGTTCACCAGGCCATTTCGCTACAACTGTTTTTTGAAGACAATGACAAATGTAACGAATTGTTTTCGGACATGCTTCGATCGACGTAAAGATTGATTGAGTAATTTGATCGAGTACGGCAAGCAAAAATTCTGCATTTGTACAAGCGTCGTCGTTTACTTCCATTTTTGTAGGATTAAGTTCTGCTGATTGTTTACTCTCGAGTAGTTTATGAATGAGATCAGATAACGCTGACTTAAGGAAAAGACCGCTTTCAGCTCTCATGTAAATATCCATTAAAGTTGTTGACAATGAAGTCGCTCGGAAAAGCGTCGACACATCATTTTCTCGTGCAATTTCCCCTTGACAAAGCGTTTTAATTAAATCGCATTCTTTTCGTTCAGCACGGAAGATTTTCAAAAGCGAAGATGCTAATGGTATTCGATTTGTATGGCAAAGATCAGACAATGCTCTAACTGGATAAAATTCATTCTCCAAAAGAAGTTCTTGAAGCGGCGAATATTCTTCTGATGGCATCACCAAATCATCCATGTATCGAATTCTCAGACGAAGAGAACCCCACTCACCAATCGGTGTCATCCCTATCCAGTCATACCTGTAAGATTTTTAAATTATGTTTGATTATAATTAAAGTTAAATTTTATTAAATGAAAGCTCTGACAGGAACAGTTGGGAAATGAAATAACTTTGTTCCGATTTCTAACTGGTTCATTGCCTTCAATCTGAACCGACCAGGACTTCTAATTTTAATTATGAAATATAAAAACAAGTCACTCACCAATTTTCTGTTTCTGAACCATTTTTAAGACTAGCAAGATCAATCGTTAATTCAGCAACATCCGAATCTTTATTCTTCTTTCCACGTGACACTAAGGTCAAGTTAAGTGTTGCAATATCAACTGGTAAATCATCGACAACAAATTCTTCTTCAAATATTGGGTCAGGTGTTGTCTTAACTTTTGTTTTTGCGATTTTAATTTGATTGAGTGATATTGAGACGTAGCAATGTGGCACAAACTTGAAAGGTAAACGATGAGCTTCAAGCACTTGAAGATTGAGACAACGAAGTTCGCGTAAACGTGGAACTTTTGACTGTGCTCGACTGAATTGTGCGCGACAATGTTGCTTCAATACACTAATCCATTGAAGATATGATTCATTTGACTTGTCACATAAATGCGAAATTGTTGCTAAACATGGTAAAGCTCGTTCAGCTATTTGAAAGCAAAACGGACGATCCCAAAGTGATTCGTGAACTTGATACAAATAAGCGCATGACAAGTCGATAAGTCCTTTTGGCTTCGTCTTCTTCGGTGAGTCATAGAAGAATAATTGAGTTTCAGTTCCTTCATTAATAAGGGCAAAGTAAAGTTGCTTCCACTTTCCAGTCTTTTCCGACTTCTTTGATAAATATCCTTGCATTTTAATTCCTTTAATCTTCTTCAAAATATTCTGATCGCGACATTCACGTAAAGTTGCATAAATTTTCTCAGCTGCAGCAGATGCTGCTGATGGTTGTTGAAACTCTGGTTGACCTCCATTTGCGACGGGATTCTGAAGTGTGTAACCTTCGACAATTTGTTCCTTTCGATATCGATTAATAACAGCATCAAGACATTCAAAAGTCCTTCCACCCATTAAATAGCGAACGCCTTTCTTTTCGATTCTAAACCTTTGAATTTGATTGTTTATATGAAAGAAGAGAGAATAATCACCAGGAGAATTGTCACTGGGACGAACAAGAAAACTTCCAGGCCCAGCTTTCACCAACATGTCGACAGCTTCATTTTTAGTGACGTTTGGATGAAACCATGAGAAAACTGTGTTCGGATCAATTGCTGGGTCGAGATCTTCAACCAATTCTCTGAAAATCATTCCTTGTTCGCCTGTTTTATGACGTGTCACCCAAAGCCAATTATCGCCCATGTCATTGTGAACGAAGAAAATGTCGCCTTTTTGAAAGCTCAACTCATCAGAAATGTCAGGCATTTTGGTGTATGGGAGAATCGCCACGACTCTTTTCTTATCATTGACTGGTTCTGGTGGTGCGATTGGATAAATAAGACGTTCACGCTTCAATAAATCGCTACTTGAATAATAAGCTACAAGATCGCTAAGTGAAAAGAATTGACGACCACCGATGTAAAAGTCTCCACAAACAGCAGCAATGCTTAAAATAGAAAGCAAAAACAATAACAGAATAAAGATTTTCATAAAAAGAATTTAAATGAGTCATAAAAAAATTCTTTCTGCTTACCGGAAGTGATTGATTCCTGTCTTGCCTAAATAGCTTAATACATAGCTTCCTGGCTTACGATCACTCTCTCGAACTGTAAGTAAAAGAAACATAAAATGAATGCTTCGTTAGACAATTTCTTATTATTATCTCTAGATTTTACGACAAAACTGTTTTCTTATTTCTCACCTAAGTAACTTCCAAGTTTGTAAGCAGTTTTCAGACGTTGTTCTGCGCTGTATCTGTCCAATCTTCCATGATACCATTCAGTTTCAGGCGGTGATGCTGCAGCTCGTTCACCTAATATCGTAGAAAACATGAATCAATGATAAGAAAAATGAAAATGTCGCTTTGAAAGACGGAGAAGTCAGTGAATAATTTGATAAGAGACGAATTGAAATAAAATTTACTTATGTGTACGCTAACTACGCATTGAGTGCAATTGTTCTTCTCAGGGAGGGGGAAGAAAAAATTACTCACCATTTAGCGTTAAACCGGCTGCACCGTCCAGCTCATCGTCTATGTTTAATTCATTTATAATTTCTTCGTCATCTTCACTTTCATATTTCGGCTCGTAGGTGAACATTCCAGCCATAATTTTGGTTTGTTTCTATCACAAGCAACACTTATTAACCGAATTTATCAATTGAAGTATGTTACGGTTCAGTTTTCATTGAAGTATCAATTAATTGACACTTTTCTTTTTATTTATGAGTTCACTTTGAGATGAAAAAATAAAATGAATTCGATTGTAGGCAATGCGAAGGAATGAAAAGAAAGTCATATCAGTCATCCGTTGCGCATTATGTGTGTGGATTATAAAATCTGCAATCTCAAGCAAAATTATGTACATTAGCATAAGTTTGAATCGAAAGAATAATTTTATTGAAGAACTTATTAAAAATCCTCTCTTAATCAAGACTTATTAATATTAAAACCCTTCTAATAAGACAACAATATCAATTTTAATTATATCAAATTCATTAATTTAACGAACATTAAATATTTAAAATTACAACAGCGTCCTCTGTGAATAATATTCGTAACTTTTCCGTGAAAAAATAAATTGTTCCAATAATTTTCATAATCAATCAAAATAAATCTATTAAAACTTGCTATTAAATATCCCCCATAGTTTTCATAGACTTTTTGAAACTTCATCAGCTTAAAAAACGTGAAAAAAGGATCTTTAAATCATCTGATAAGACGTGTTTTCAATTTCTCCATTTTCGGCGTCGCCTAAAAGTGTTTTGATAAATTTAAAATTTTTGACTGATTTAAAGCGTCTTGGAAGTATTTCCTCCATTGAATTATTTGATAAAGAATCTTGTGTAGACATTTTCTGTGTCATTTGAGAAGAAATTCTTCTGATTTTTCTTATTTAATAAAAATGGATGTTGATACGCGAGGCAGTTCGCCGGGGAGAGAGAGAGATAGATCCCGTCGAAGTGAAAGAACTGGAAGTCGATTTGATAATAACGATCGTGATAAGTCTCGTGAGAGAGACAATCGCCAAGAGTCACGTCGCATCTACATCAGCAATATCCCTTACGAATATCGTTGGCAAGACTTGAAGGATTTATTCCGTCGTGAAGTTGGCGATGTTGCATTCGTTGAACTATTCAATGATGAGAGTAACAAACCTCGTGGTTGTGGAATTGTTGAGTTCGAGAAAGCTGAAAGTGTTCCATTAGCTCTCGACAAAATGAATCGTTACGACTTAAACGGTCGCAATCTGGTCGTGAAAGAAGATTTTGGAAATGAGCGTGACAAGTACGGGCGTGTTGTTTCAAAAGTCGGTGGTGGTGGAGGCGGAGGCGGTGGAGGCAGTTCCAACTATCGCATGAATCGTGATCGAGACGATGACAGAATGTAAATTTTCTTTCATTTTTTTATTCATTTTTCTCTTTTCGTTTACTTATTGGAAAGTTGTTCGAATTTTGTTGCGCTCCTCTCTGCTCAATGTTGTGATGGTTTTTTATTCAAAAATCCTTCTTTGGGGGCATTCAAACAAGAACAAGAACGACTTTTATTTTATTACGTTTAAAAGAAAAAAGAAAATTAATTTTTACCACTTTTTTCCGCCGATATTTGCTGCCACATTCTTTCTCTCTCTTCCATTTTAGAAGTTTTGGTGATGCGCGCGGTCATGGTGGTGGCAACATCTCAAATCTTGAAAATTTCAATACTTATGGCCTGTCGGTTAAGTTTTTGGAAGGATTGGGCATTACAGGTCCATTACACACAAAAGTTTTTGTGGCGAACGTGAGTATTATGAGCTTCCACTCTTTGCTTTACAACTCTTCTCGATTATGATGATCAACAGTAGTGTTCACTTCTTTGAATTGAACTTCTCTCCAACCATTCATGAGAATTTCCTTTTCTTCTCTCTCTTTTCTCTTCAGTTGGATTATAAAGTCGATGCGAAAAAATTGAAGCAAGTGTTCAAGCTTGCTGGTAGAGTTGTCAGCTTGGAATTGTCGGTTGACAAAGAAGGAAATTCTCGAGGTTTCGCGGTGGTCGAATATGATCACCCAGTTGAAGCTGTTCAAGCGATTTCTTTGTTTGATCGTCAGACGCTTTTCGATCGTCGTATGACCGTTCGCTTAGATCGTGTTCCCGAAAAGAGTGAGGGACCAAAATTACCTGAAGGCTTGAAGGGAATTGGCATTGGTCTCGGACCAAATGGCGATATTTTGCGTAACGTTGCTCTTAATCTTCCAAATGTTCAGAACAATCCTTCCCAAAATGTCTCAGCTAATACAATGAACAGTCTCAACACCTTGAACAGCCTCAGCAACAGCTTGAGTCAATTGAGTCAACAGAATCAGCCAGTTCCAGCTCCTGTCGCACCTCCAAACTCGAGCTTGCTTGGGCCAGTTCCAAACTCAAATAGCTTGTCTGGCTTGACTAGTAATCTGGCGGCTCTCACAAATGTTGTAGGGGGTTTAGGGGGTCTTGGAGCTCTTTCAAATCCACTTTTATCGTCTGCTGCTGCCAGTTTAAATTCTCTGGGCATTAATCTTAATAGTGGTAATGATGTAAACTCAGCACAAAAGCAGCAAGGCTCGTTTAATGCATACAACACAAGTGGTGGGTTTAATTCGGGAAATAGTGGAAGGGTTGATGATATGTCGTTTGGTGGAAATCAAATTCGTAATTATAATACGTCCTCGAACGATGATTACAATTCTCGTAATTTTGGCAACACTGGCGGTAATTCGAGTCGCAAACAACCAAGTGACACAATCATTGTTAGAAATGTGAGTGAACTTCTTTTTTCTTTATATATTGTGAATTATTTTAATTAATTCTTTTATTAGCTTCCATCATCGTGGACATGGCAAAATTTGCGTGACAAATTTCGTGATGTTGGTGAAGTGAAGTTTGCTGAAATTCGCGGTTTAGACACGGGAGTTGTTCGCTTCTCTAAAGAACGAGAAGCCGAAGTTGCTATCAGTGAGATTCTTGAATTATAATATAATTTCTGACAATTATAATTAAACTCTTTCATTACAGAACTCATGGATGGATCACGTTTCGATGGACGTTTAGTTGAAATCGACTATTTTTAAGACAAATCATTCATCTTCACATTGACGAATATTGTAAAATATTTTTTCTTTTGTTTCTTTATCATTTCGAAGTTTCCATTTAAGACGCTTGACAATTTACAAATAGTTTCATTATCAAGCATTTGGTTTCCTCTATTTTTAATAGTTTTTTTTAAACTAAGCTGCATTCATCTTGAAGATTTTGTTCTTTTTTTTGTCGCTTTAATTCTGACATCAACATTACTTAACATGTTTAAGATACAAATAAAAATAAGTTCATGACAAAAGTTTAAAATGTTTAATTCTTTTTTATTCACAAATGATTTAGAAGACAATTATTTCCTGATGACTACAGAAATTGTTTCTCGTTTTATTGACAATTGAATTGGTGGAAAATTCCTGACACAAATTGAACATAAAACTCATAATTAATGAAACTCAATTGCATTGTTCTTATTGGTGAGGTGGATTAAAATTAAACAACACGTTTAACTTCTAAGAATCTCTTAAGGTAATAAATCTGTCCAACAGTCATAAGGACGAGGATTCCAGCTTCAAAAATCGACCACCAAACAACTTTTGAATTTGTTGACTCGTTGATGTCTCGATGAATTTTATCCCTCACATGCATGTACTCTTGTTCGTGTTTGATTCCAACCAACGATCCTGATAACTCGCGAATCATATCGTCAAGCTTTGTATGTCCAGCTTCACTTTCACCGGGTGCACCTTGAAGTTCATAATGAAAGAAAACTGTCGGAGAAAATAAAATTTAACTTACCCGGCGTTCCACTCGGAGCTTCAGATATCTCCATAGTAAACATCAGCACTTTAGGAGTCATTGAAGACATTTGATTACTGAAACAATATTTGTAAGTGCCTGTTTCTGTAGCCGCAAAGGTATATTTTCCACTTGTTTCCTTATCGCCCTGTTGAGATTGGAGAAAGTTTAATTCATATCGAAAATTGGCAAATCTTCTTTATTTTACCTGATAGATTTGTTTTCCATCAGGTCCTGTAATTCTAACATCGATATCCAAAAAGCCACCTTCAATAGTTTCGAACATTAAACCTGAAAATTTATGTAAATATTGGAAAATTATTTACGTGGATTTCCAACTAAACAAATTGTCCCTTTTCCGATTTTTACCTAATTTACTTCCAGCTATGGCGTTATCAAAGAAGCACTCTTCTGCATGAGAATCAACTGTGATGATGTATGCATTACTTAATTTGGAAATGAGGAGAATAATTGAAAAAATTAGGAAATTCATTTTCTTTTAATAATCGAGATCTCGTCGTCATCAATACGAAACAAAACTCACATTGTGAGTGTTAATGTGTCTGACTGACATGAAATTTGAATAGATATTTAACAAATATCGTGCAGCATATTCAAGTGAATAATGTAAGTTTAACGGTTCCAACAGAAAAAAATCAAGATTTTTGTTCTTTTCTTTGCAACTTTTATTAATAAATAAAAGAATTCTTCTAGAATTAAATAGAAATTAAATTAAAAATTATAATGGAACATAAACAAGTTGAAGAAACAAATCAAGAAACNAAATGATTTAGAAGACAATTATTTCCTGATGACTACAGAAATTGTTTCTCGTTTTATTGACAATTGAATTGGTGGAAAATTCCTGACACAAATTGAACATAAAACTCATAATTAATGAAACTCAATTGCATTGTTCTTATTGGTGAGGTGGATTAAAATTAAACAACACGTTTAACTTCTAAGAATCTCTTAAGGTAATAAATTTGTCCAACAGTCATAAGGACGAGGATTCCAGCTTCAAAAATCGACCACCAAACAACTTTCGAATTTGTTGACTCGTTGATGTCTCTGTGAATTTTATCCCTCACATGCATGTACTCTTGTTCGTGTTTGATTCCAACCAATGATCCTGATAACTCGCGAATCATATCGTCAAGCTTTGTATGTCCAGCTTCACTTTCACCGGGTGCACCTTGAAGTTCAAAATGAAAGAAAATTGTCGGAGAAAATAAATTTTTAACTTACCCGGCGTTCCACTTGGAGCTTCAGATATCTCCATAGTAAACATCAGCACTTTAGGAGTCATTGAAGACATTTGGTTACTGAAACAGTATTTGTAAGTGCCTGTTTCTGTAGCCGCAAAGGTATATTTTCCACTTGTTTCCTTATCGCCCTGTTGAGATTGGAGAAAGTTTAATTCATATCGAAAATTGGCAAATCTTCTTTATTTTACCTGATAGATTTGTTTTCCATCAGGTCCTGTAATTCTAACATCGATATCCAAAAAGCCGCCTTCAATAGTTTCGAACATTAAACCTGAAAATTTATGTAAATATTGGAAAATTATTTACGTGGATTTCCAACTAAAAAAATTGTCACTTTTCCTATTTTTACCTAATTTACTTCCAGCTATGGCGTTATCAAAGAAGCACTCCTCTGCATGAGAATCAACTGTGATGATGTATGCATTACTTAATTTGGAAATGAGGAGAATAATTGAAAAAATTAGGAAATTCATTTTCTTTTAATAATCGAGATCTCGTCGTCATCAATACGAAACAAAACTCACATTGTGAGTGTTGATGTGTCTGACTGACATGAAATTTGAATATTTAACAAATATC